CATCAATTTTTGTGTGTCATGTTCTTTAAAACCAAGATTTCAAGTAGGTGGGTTGTGTCTTTAGTCTGTTTGAAATTTCATATTTCTTTAGACCCAAATACAGCTTAGTTACTAAGCTTGACAAATTATAGTGGAATGTTATGGTATTGATATAGTAATTTATGATTTTTGGTTATTCAAATGTATGTACAAAACCTGAAAAAAAATTTTGTTCCATATCCTCCACCTGCAAAATTTTAAAAGGCTTAGCAACCTATGTCAAGCAGCAACCGAGTACAAAGGTCGTAACTAAAAGAGATAATTGTTTGCTTTACTTATTTATTTTCTGTTCTATGTTTTAAGAAAAATAAGTTTAAGAACTTATTTCTAAATAATAATGATATATATACATATATAATGTATAATTATGGAAATTTGACTGTATTTTACAAAATACTAGTCTACTAAAACACAGCCAAGACAGGTCACTTTGTAAAGACTAAAGATCAGTTTTATATTATTGGATACAGTAATGCTAGAGCACATGTGCCACATCATCATAACTTCTGTATTGTTAGCCAGGCATGGCTGAAAGGTCAATATAATAAATATATGATAAATGTATAATGTTATGAGATTTAAGTTATTTAGTCTAAACATTTATGTTTTTTGTGTTATAATTTATTGTCATTCGAGAATGAAAGAGGCATAATTTATACGTATTTCATAATTTTTTATGGTGGTTACAAGGTGGGTCAAATCTACTGAACCTGTACAGAGATTCATTAGTGAAAATAACAAGTAAAATATCAAGTTTTTTTTTAAGAAACATTTGATAACTATCTGGACATTATAAAGATTTTGCATGTGAAATTTGAAATTTTTCTGATGCATAAAAGTATTTTTAATATTAAAATGAATGTTAATTTGCATGTTGGATACGCAACATGTAAAAAGAAAAAAGGGCATAAGAAAAACATTGCTTAACAAACCTTAAGACTTAATAAAAAAAAATTTATATTTTGCGTATGAAAGCATTGTAATGTTTACTGATAATCTGCCAAATTTCGCTAACATGTGCTTACTAATTAAAAAGTTATAGCATGAGAATTATAACAAGCACAAAGTGGTTACGAGGTCGGTCCCAGGTATCGAGCCTATGCTGAAAGAGTTAACAGCAGTAAATTAACTTCATTATCTATTAGAAAGTTGTTGTTCAGTGATGTTAAATGAAAGGCTTATTACTAAATACTTGTAAAAAAAGAAAGA